TCGAACCCCCCTTCAGGTAGTTGAAGGCTGCTATTAAATCTCCCCTCAGAGTCTTCTCTTCTCCAGACTAAGTAAGCCCAGTTCCCTCAGTGTCTTCTCATACATCATGTGCCTCAGCCCCCTAACTATTTTTGTTGCCTTCTGCTGTAGTCTCTCCAATTTGTCGATATCCTTTCTGTACTGGGGGCCCCAAAACTGGACACAGTACTGAGGATCTGGCCTCACCATTACTGAATAGAGAGGAATAATCACTTTCCTTGATTTTGGCTCATGGTCTCAGTCAGTTCCCCACAAAGTGTGGGGTTTGCGATTTTCCAGAATAATCAATACTTACCTTTAACACCTTCAGCTTAAGAGACTTGGCCAGCATCGTGCAGGGAGTCTATTAATGACAGTAAAGTATACCATCATGGGTATTGGTGTTATCCTGCAACAGGCAATAGAAGGGAGCAAATTGTAATCAGACTAGGTAAAAAACAGCATTCTCCATATCTTGTTGTTTAGAAAAACACGGTGATTATTAACAGGATGGATTCCAGTGCACTGAGCTTGCAATAAAATAAGGTATTAATGCCTGCTATTTACTTCCAAGCCTGGGAACTACCACTAACAGCTGAGAGTAACTGCAAGAAAAATCGTCTTCTAAACATCTTTGAACATTTATATAAAACCAGAATGGTGGGCTGATGGTTTGATTTTTCAGTCTTGCAAAGTATTCATTTAGCTTTGGGGACTGTCAGCTTATTATAGGAGAAATGTTTCTGACAGAGAAACTCCAGTGGTTCCGGAGTCCTCCAATCACTTTGTGTCCAGTCTGTTGCATTGTTGACCTAGATAAGGAACGGCTTTCTCTGGTTGAATTAGTAAATGATCACTTCATGCTGGATAGATGTGAAGCATCTGTACTAATTGTTTTAGGTACCAGCTGTCATTGATAGTACAAATCATAGGGCTTAGTTTTCACAGCTGGAACCCCTAGAGGGCCTGGATGAAGTTGCTTAAAGCAAGTCCACTTTGATTGGCGTGCTAGTGTTAGCCAGTCATTTTTCTGCAAGATGGTTCCCTCCTGCAGGTTTCTGCTTGGGTTTATTTCACTATCTTCAGGGTACAGAGAAAGGTATTATTATGAGGTTTAATGAAGAGGCATATGCTGTGATAATGTACCCAGCTCTACAGCTCTGTCGCATTGATCTGGATTGGCAGAGATGAAGAAATGATCCAGAGGATGTTTGAAACTGTAGGCAGAATGAAGGGTTAGTTGTCATGAAGACTAAGAGGATGTTGGTAGGCTAGAGGAAGCAAATAAAAAAATTGGCACCCCAACTGAGTGAGAGCATCTGCCACTTGCAACACAAGTTGTTAATTTTGCAGTTTTATTAAATGTTAGTCTATTTTAAGTACTGGGTAGCCACCTCTTTCAGTGGCTTTCTTTGCCCTTTCTCTCAGACATGGACCTTGCTGTAAGTCTTTTACCCCTTGGTCACCTCCAGAGCAGAATGCAGCAATACAGCCTACCTAGCACTGTATCTTATGATCATTCTGAGATGGAGAATCCATCCTCCCAGGTGCTGAGTCATGCATTAGACAGAACATACCCCACTAGGGCTCAGTAATCTGCACTGGTTTTCATTAAGTTTCCAGGTGGGATTTCAATGCATTGGTGTGTACTACATTGCTATTGTTTGTATCTACTTATACTTATAGTATCCACACATTTCTCAAAACACAACAGAAAGGAGTGTGCCTTGAATACTTTCCATCTAGAGAGAAAGAGGATGGGGGAAGGGATGAGAGAAGAAGGGGAAGACAGGCATAGAAGAGCAGATAAAGTGGCAATTGGCTGTGTTATGGCAAAGTAAGGGTGACTTAAATATGTATCTTAAAACTGTGGTATATAAACTATTGCCATTTTGTGCCACAACTTATAAGTACCAGTTAGGTGGGCAATATAATGGTTGGGGAGGCCACAGCAGAAGAGATTACCATTGTTAAGATGGGTTATGAGGGTCCAACAAAGATTTTAGTAACAGCGATAGAGACAAAAGGACACTTGAATACTGAGGAGGAAGAAGCTGCAAGATTTTGATACAGTTTTTGTGGGGTGGGCATCACAGTGAATTTGAGCCTCATTCCCAATTTTGTCCCTGGTCAACCCAGATGTAAATGTGTATCTGGTCACTAGGACAGGGGAGCAGGAAGCAGACAGTTGTAGTGATAGTACACAGGGGAGCTGTGTGGTTGTAGAAACTGGTGTGTCTTAGCCATATGAGCCTGATGGGCCACCTGGCTCAAGTGAACCTTTTGTTGAGCTTTTGTTGGGAATGATGGGAATGAAAGTGTTAAAGATGGATACCTGCAGTAGTGAGCAGTGATGAATGGGGGTGGGCGACAGAACAGCAACAGAAAATGGGGAGGAGTGAATGAAGATTTGGAAGGAAAAAGAGCCCAGTGTGGGTCTTGGTGACTAGTGGTGAGGCAGTGCAAAACAGAGACCCACAAGATAAGCTTAGAGGTGGGACAAGAGGGAGCAAGTCAAGAAAAATGAAATAGATTTCTGATCTCTTCATTCATAATTGGGAGCTGAAGCCAGGTAAGGAATGGAGAATTGGAGAACTAGAAGAAGAGTAGACTTAAGTTCTTCCATCCAAGTAGCAGGAAAAGTACTCACCAAAAATATGCTGAAGGGATGGCCAACACAACAGGGGAAGAAACAGTCGTGGAAAAAATGGGCGTGATGTTGAAAAAGCTTGTGATGACAATATCAAAAACTGTAGAGAGGTCAAGAAGATGAGGATATCTGGATCTGGGTGGAAAGAATTTGTTGAACTTTGAGAGGTCTTTCAAAGCAGGGAATGGGACCTAAAGCCAATTTGGATGGGTTCAAAGACAGAGACGGAAGAGGAAAACTTGCAACATCTTTTATAAGAACCCTGAAAAAAGAAAAACAAATGGATTGTGACTACTTATGACTAATTGTAGATTACCTCAAAATCTTAATGCATGATTACTTAAAAGCTGCTGCAGCTACAGTTAGCAGAGTGCTCATGACAGAATCCCTTATTTCAAAAAGAGACAGGTGAATTCAGTGCTAACTTAGGGCCTTGTTACATGTTACGCTATGAGCCGCACACGTGTTGGTAGGTGTTAGCACTAGCTCAAGTTTGGAGCAGTCACACTTCAGGCCAGCAGGGGTCTGGAGAACTGAAAGGTAAGAATCCTCCTCCCTCCCACTCTGGGCCTCCCTCCTGCCCCAGGAGCTCCCCTGGTTTCCCCCACTCACAGGGCTCCTTCCTGCCCCTCGAAGTTCCCCTCTTCCTTCCCCGCCTCCACTTATTTGTGACTGTCCATGCTATTTGTCCCAGGGGAGCAGGCAGGGAAGGGTTAACCTGCTTGCCCAGGCCCCACCAACATTGTTGGGCTGCTGCTCTTCTCTGGGCTAGTGAACAGGGCAGGATGGAGCACTGGGCGGGCAGTGAACAGGGATCTGGGCTGCTGGTAGGCGGGGGAGGCAGTGGGCCCAATCCCAGCCAACAGGGGAGGAGGAGTGGGTGGGTTGCTTACACTAAGGCATAGCCTAGATTGGCTACAGCTTAATGTCATGAGCTGGTAATACAGATAATAGAGAATCCTGCCCTGAATTGGTGCAACTATAAGCTGCCTAAGGAGTGCTTAAAACTAGTTTCAGGTGTTAACATGCAGACAATCCAGGGGTTAATAGTTCCAGGAGCCACTCAAAATAACCATGTACTAAGGCCCTTGGTTATGTCCCTGAGAAGTTCTTGGTTTTACAACTTGCTTTTAACCCTTTCTGCCCATCAGATTTGGAGCTTGTTTTTATTACAGGGCTGCTACTGCCACCAGAGCCAGCAGAAATATGGCAGCAGAACCCATTATCTTCCAATCTTTTGATTTAATGCATTCAGTGGCATGGAAAACATATGGAGTATTACAAGAGCCCTGAGTTTTTTATGTTGACTTTGCTATACCATTTCCTGGAATGGCAGTAGATATGCCAATAGGTGTCCTCATCTGTCAGCATAGCCTCGTCCATATTGTCATGGAGTGAGGCTTTCCAGCCGAGCTGTGTCACCCGGAAGGGAGAGGGGATGATCTTTTCATATCCTTAGCAAAACATTGTAGACCAAGTCTTGACCATGCTGAAAAGCCTGGCTTTTCTCTCCAGCTTCAGTCTTAGTGTATATTGCTGTTTATAATGGTATGGAGCATACAGATCCTAGAAAGGCACTAAAATAGATCATCCACCTAAATACTGCAAGAGATTGCAAAACATTGTACAGTTGGATAGCCATATTTCCATCAGTCTCCTTGCTTTATGGCTTTTATATCCCATAATAAAATGATACTTTTCCCCCCAGCTTTTGTCCAAAGCAGATACTGCATTACTCTCATTATACATTTTAAATCATTAGAATATAAATTATTGCCATAAAATATTGAATAACTTATTTTTCTTTTGATCCAGGTGGCAAGCTTATTGAGGTTTTCCTTACATTTCTCCAACCATAATTAGCTGGCAAAAGTCTTTCTATTATTCCCAGGACAACGTGTTTGTCATTTTGAAGCTAAAAAGCATTCACAGAATTTGCTTTTCTAGCTAAGAGCTAATTAAGGCCTTGCTCCACTAAGGACCTACCCATGTGCTTAACTGTCCTCAAATAAATAGTCTTCTTGGAACCAGCAGGACTGTTCAAACAAGTACAGTTAAGTGCATGTGTGTTTTCAGGATTTTTTTGTGCCTAAAAGTAGGTTAGCAGGACAAAGGCCTTAAGCAAAAAGGGTTACATTTATCTTCAACTTGGCAATGGATGTATGATAATTAATAGGTGCATGATAATTAATTATGTGTACAGTACTCATACTAAAAATTCAAAATAATTCCCCCACCCCCAATCCCCCTTTCTGCTTCTGGTGTGTCCATGCTCTACACATGGATTGTATTAGAAACAATTCAAGAGAACTTTTTGCATGTTTTGTTTCAGTTGCAGGTTGAACTTGATCAGGAATACCAAGACAAATTCAAGAGACTCCCTCTGGAGATTCTGGAGTTTGTACAGGAAGCAATGAAAGGGAAAATCAGTGAAGATGGAGACCACAGTTCTGCCCCTTCCTCTCTGGCATCTGACAGTGGAAAATTGAACCATAAACCTCTGCAAAATGAAGAGGAATTGGAAGATGATCATCCAGAAAAAGTATTTGATACTCCTTTTTAGCTCCCCAAATCAGGCTACAGGCAGCGATTACTGTGCCAGGGCATGCCATGCTTGTGTTGCCCACTCTCTATTTTCCTGTTGTAAGCTGCCATAGAACAGCTCCTAAAGACAGGAGGAATCTGTATTCAAATGCACATTTCCCAAAGGAACGTTTTATAACAGTACTGTGCAAAGGTCTTCATTCTCATTCTTCGTTTTTATTATTATGCTAAAGCTTAGTGCAGTTATAATGGGGAAATTAATGTGTTAACCATCTTATTTTTTTCTGGCCAACTTACAATGGGTAATTTTCAGGCCATGTGCACTGTTAAGAATGTTTAATGAAGACCAGTGCATTGTACAAAGACTAATGTGCACAGATTTCCTTTTGAAGTGCCAGTGCAAAGTGTTCCAAACTAATACAGATCCTACCAAATTATATAACAATACTTCATCATTTTGTGTCCTATTTTCTAACTGCACCTTGACAGCTGTACCATCATTTTACATTTGCACTGAAACATTTAACCCTTTTTAGCTTTGCAGGCACTGGTGGCTTGCTCTCTCGATATTAGGTTTATCATATGAAAAGAAATATATTTGCTGCTCAAAATTCCTTTGTTGGAACTGTGGTTATTAGAGCAAGTTTAAAACAGAGATGAACTTTGTTTGTCTAAAGTGTGTCGGTCTGTGCGTGTGTATGTGTATGCTGTATACTTGTGTGAGTACATATATGTTTGTGCACATATATACATGTGCGCATACATAAATTTATATACACACACAGCATGTATGCGTTTTGGAGGTGGTCTGATCTCATGGCAAAATGAAACGTTTCAGGGATATATGAATAGAGAACTTTTATGGATTATATCTGAGTTATATTGATATTAAATAATCATTAAATCAGAAGATTCTTTTTGTGGTGTTGGTGTTGTAAATTGAAGTAGTTTTAGAATATAAATTTGATATATATTTTGCAGACTCAAAAGTATTGATTTTACGTATCATATTTTAAGCTTACTGAATTTGATAGGACTATTAAAATGTTTAGGACTACAGTATTTGACATTTAGCAGTATCTTCCATAATTTTTAAGACTGAGGTTCAAATTTTACTAAGGTCTGAAATTGAAAAGCAGATTTAAAAACCTTATCATTGTTACTTAAAATATGTGTTAATTGGTTTAACCACACCTTAAAATCTGAACAGAGTTTATGTACTGCATCACATGCACGAGGGGGGAGAACCTGCATTTTATCAGAAATGTATATGAAATAATAGTGAATCTATGAAAGCCAGGATATTGGAAAAGGGAAAATACATTCTCTAGCGTCCCGTCTTCAAGAAAATATGAATTATGAAAACCTACACATGGCCAAATTATACTACTAAGACCACTTTGCACTGTCAGAACAGTGCAAAAAAATAACTGGCTCAAAATGTAGATTTTTCATGCTTATGTCTGATCCTGCAAACACGTGAGTGCCTTTAGACATGTAAAGAGGGCTGCTAAACTCCCTGGAACCACTTCGGATAACCATGCTCATATCATGTGTTTGCAAGATCTGAGCCTTAATTTGTATTTTAAAAAAGTAAACCTGAAATTGTCTACCAGGAATATAGCAAAGCATTTTAATACATGATAGCATTAAAGTTACTTTATTTCCTTTCCCTCAGGATGTAGTATTTGTAGTAACTTATTTTATTTAAATTTAAGCAATAAATATAGATCAAGCTTAAATTTTGATTTAAATAACACGTGTGTGTGTGTGTGTGTGTGTGTGTAAGTTCAAACCATAGAAAACAAGCAGTATTTTGATGTTCCTTTTTTAAATGTAGAGCAGGTGGAAAGAAAAATTGCACATTGTTTGGATATCATATTTTGGATTAAACTATTCTAATTGATAATGAACCTCATGTAGTGAACAGAAGACTCAAATGTCTGACCTTCCTCTTGATTTTAGAACAAGTGAATCCTCAGTAATCATTGTTTTGCACTTTTGGGATCCACATTAATCAGTTGGTAAAAAAACTAAAATGGTCAAAATGTAATGCTGCATTTTATAGAGCAAAAATTAACCAGGCTATTTAAATTAGAGAGAATGTACTAATAGCAGTGTTCACAACAAAACTGAAGACTATTGCGTTACAAACATGGTAGTATACTGCAGAGCTTTATGGTAAAATCCTGGCTTCAGTGAAGCTCAGTGTGTCAAAATTCCCATGGACTTCAGTGAAGCCAGGGCTCCACCCTTAGTCTTCAAACAGACTTGGGAAAACCCCAATTACTCTTTTATTTATATTTAAGAAGTTACTAGTTGGATTCAATATACTATCAGCTGTAGTCATTTTACAATATGTTTGTATTTGCCCATTTCTGTACTCACATTTTTTTATATCTGTACAGTGCCACTTTTTGAAGTTGTAGGGTAGTGTGTAATACTGTACATCTTGCATTATTCAAACTATTGCAGTGATACAAATACCATTTAATATTAATATTACTTGAACTAGAGTAAGATAATGAAAAAGGGTCTTTATGATGTGCAAGTCTTGTGCCTTTTATGTATTTGCCTTGTTATGTGTTGAAAATGTGGAAATGCCGTACTGTGGACCTTTCTGTTGTATAGAATAGAGCGCTCTATATTAAACTAGATTGTGCACTTCAAATATCTTTACACTACTGACAAATAGCTTGGTTTTTGGCAGTATAAACAGAATTTTAAAAATTCTAATGAAATGCCGGACATTTTGGATTTAACATGTTCATAATTATGTTAATTAATACCCATGTATTAGTTGAACATTCATTAAAAGATAACTAAAGGGACATTGCTTGCCTTTCTTTGAAATCAATGTTGCTCTTGTACATTGTACTAATAGTGTATGTGATTGATTGGACTTTGGTGATTTGCTTTCAAAAAAAGTAGGACAAAATATTTCAGTTAACATGTACATATTTTGGTTTCTTAATCTCAGATTGTTTCAGATGCATAATTCACATTTTTGTAAAAATTCTATGCAATTTTGTGGCATGATGTTTCTTCCACTTGTAATTTTACGTGCTTTCATCACAGATCCAAAGGACAAATAAAAAAAAATTTCTTAACACAAGACAATTATACATGTTTGTTTATTTACTGGCTCAAAGGATTTACTTCCAACTACCAAGCCATTTGGTGACCGGAAGGGCAATACCTTGAGAAATGAACAGTGAATCTTCCCTGCAGGTTCTCAGTGCTCTCTTTACAGCACTGAGAAAAGGGAATTGCACACACCAGAAAAAGAATATGGGTTTTGCTATTTTTTTAAGCAGAAAAACATTTTAAAATAAAAGGAAGGATGCTTTGCAATCGTCTATCTGTATAGAAAGATATGAAGTTATTTCATAGGCTTTTCTAGAAGTTATTACATAATGCAACAGTTTAATTTTTTTCAGTCTTCCCTGTGTGCCTATGTGTTTCAATTAATCCTGAAAATCACATGGATGATTTAGATGTCACCAGGTTTTCCCCCCCAACAACCATCCTGCAAATTATGTTAAAATGGATACCTTTCACTGTGGATCTGCACGTAATTTTCACTGAGAGCTCTGAAACAGAAGCCCATTAAAGTGGTTTTCATTCATCCTGTTCTTATTTATTTGCCTTTTAATACCAAAAAATATATATCCCTAGGGAATGAGATAGGCAGGTATACTAATTCAGTTTACAAAAGGCCTATATCTTATTTAAAAGAAATAGTTCCCAAAGGAATTAGATTGAAATTGCTTTGCTAGCAAGTGTTTGGGGAAACAAGGTTGGGATACAGAGGAGATACAAAATTATGTGAGTGGTGCAGAGAGTGAGGGGAAATCACTGATCTGGACTGACATAAGGGAATAAGAATAGGGCGTAAACAGCTGGAAAGTAATGAATAAATTTATCACTGGGGAAGCGAAGTGCTAGCAACGTGGCATAAAAGCAAGTGGTGGCTCAGAGACAAGAACTTCAGGGAGGAAGAGAGCAACAGACCAGAAACAAAGCCATGCTTTATAAAGACAGGATCAAGAGGAAGAGACTAGCTTGCCAACAGCACTACTGAGCAGGAGAGAGCAGCCAGTGTGAATGTGCCTGAGAAGCTGCTGCTGGAGAGTTTCCTGAGATGGAGTAGGAATTTAAGAGGAAAAGGGTGTGCAGAAGGTAAGAATACAGGTTAGCAGAGAGAGTGCCAAATGGGAATCCAGGTAAGCAGGGAGAGTACCCAAGTGAGTAGACATGAAACTTTGATGAAAAAGGAGAGGATGAATGAAGGATGGAGTCTGGGTTTGGAAAGGTATCAGAAGAGTAGATGAAGGGAGGAGGTAGTGCCACCAGTACAGAAACAGAATAGGGACAGGACTGGGAAAGCACAATGGGAAGTAGGAGAAGTCGATGACAATGAGGTAAGAAGAGAATGGCCTGAAGACAAGACAAGGCTTGGGTGGGGGAGGGCATCCAGGTAGCTGAGGAAGAGGAGAGACAATGGCTGCTCGGGACAGGCAGTAGGATCCGAGATGCATACCATTATGCATCTTGGGCCTCTGAAGGTAGGCAGCCAGGCAGGCTTCAGGAACATGGAGCTGGATGCTCCCACTGATCCTGGTGATATCCTCAAGAACATCAAGAAGCCAGGAAAAGTGTGCTGGCAGTTGCTGTTATGTTGAATAAGCACCAGCCAAGCTGGTAACCTGCCTAACAGGACTTCTGGGGTGACCTATAGGCTGGCCCCAGAAGACACTTTTCAGTCTGAAGCTATTAGCCACCACTGCACTTTGGTTTTAATGGAAGAAGATGCAGGGAGCTTTCTAGCTAATGGCCACTTTACTAGTAGCTACCTGAAAAGACAAGGCTCTTTGGGTGAATCTGATATCTTTTATTAGACCAGCTTAAGTAGTTGGCGGTGGGGGGAAATTAGCAAGCTTTCAGGTTTAAAAACCCTTTGTCAGGCTGAGAGAGTCTCTGCGGTTAGCATGTGCTCTTCCTGGATTTAATGAGTAGTAAAGAAAAGAGATCAGATTCACCCAAAGAACCTTGTCTGCCTATGTCCTTAGAACAACACAGCTACAACCTACACCCCTGCTACCTGAAAAAGCATTCAAACCGGAGCCCCAGGTAGTCCCCTTTGAAATCATAACAACATAAAACAGGGTAGATCTAAAACAGTCATTTTCCTTCATAAAGGTGCCTAGAAATGCTGCCAAGCCAATGGGTATTCTCTTTGTGGAGATGCAGACTATTAGTTATTGGCCTGCCTCCCACCAGTGAGAACCAACCCACCAGTAAGAAGCTAGAAGTGCCTGTCACTGAAACTCAAAACAGCAGCAAATGGAGCACTCCAGATTTTACCAACTATAATTAGGAAGGCCTGTGGTGAGTTAGCCTTTACAGAGGGCATTTCAGTGCCCAGTGAGACTGCATCTCTATGGGAGGTGTCACCCCTTGCGAGAGAGGATAATAGGAGTTGAGGGTAGGGCTGTGCATATTTTTTCTTGGCTTTACTCACAAGCCTTAGACCCTTTCTTGCTCAGCCACAGGAGAATTCACTTGATCTCAAATGGAAGTAATTAGCTACTTATTAGAAGGCACCCTAAGGCTTTCTTTTTTTCTTCCTCTGGAGGACACTTACTAAGTCCAAGTGAGGGAGTAGTAACCTGTGATCTGGGTTAAGAATATTTATTTGCTGGAACTGGAGATCTGAGCATCAACAAGCACATTATACAATGGCTACTTGTCTCTGTCAAATGTAAAGGGCCAACTTAAGAAAAGCATTGTTCTTATAAAGAGAAGGGCAAGTTAGTAGGAGAGAAGTGAAATATCAAAGAAAATACACCTGGGAATGGGGATGTTTCTAGTCTCTATGCCATTTCCCCCTGTCTCCTCCCCTGCAAAAAAAAAAAATCTGACCTTTGTTTTAGGTCCCAGTTGTTAGCCTTGTTATAACTTAGAACAGTGACAAATAGTGAGCCATTGCAAAAGCCTTTAAAGAGTTTTCAAGACAGACAAGCTAGAAATACAAAGGACCCTATGGCCCCTCAAGTGAGAGAAGACAGGAGATACCGAAGATGAACAAGTTGAGGAGTATTAGCTTACATTCCAGTGAGACAAAGAACTGTCCGAATGGCATGGCCTACATCTTACAGGTATGAGGCTAATCTTTTTGGCTGGCAACAAACTGGTGCAGCCAGGGGAACATTAAACTACTAATGAAAGGTGTGGGGACTAAGTCTACTGAGATTTGGTGTGTTATGAACAACCTAAACTGACATGGCAAAGGATATGACAAGAAGTAGTTTTCAATTATTTGTGTGCCAATGCCAGGAGTCTGGATAGGAAAGCAAAAGGAATTGAAAAGTCTTACTGACAAAAAATGATTAGGTACAATTAGCATTAACTGAAACCTGGTGGGATGACTACAATGTTAAAATAACCTCTTGAAGAAAGATAAAGTCAGTGAAAGAGAAGTGAGAGGTAGCTTTCTGCATCAAAGACATCATTCTATGAGTTATTGATAACTTGAGAAAACAGCTGCCTGAAGGCATATCAATCAATGTGCTAACTAACAAAGGCCAGGAAAACATACTGCTAGGGGGTATGTTATAGACTGCTGCATCAAATTAGAGGACACGGGGAGTCACTCCATTAGCACCAGTCTGCAATGTATGAAAAGAAAAAAGGAGGTACTATGAGGGACTTCAATTTTGGGAAGACAAAATTGGAGGCCTTATGTAGCCAATAGCAACATATTATTAGTGTCTCAAAAAGACAGTTTTTTCTAATACAGAAGATATTGGAAACACATCTCTTCATGACAAAGATCAATTAATCAATGCCCTGGAATTTGATGATGATGACCTGCTACATATTATGGGCAAAAGATTATCCTACCCAGAAATATATATTTGGTGCCTTGAAAGGGCTAATTTTCCAAAGCTAAGAAAAATTTTTGAGCAAAATGAACTAGGAGGAAAGACATAGACAGAAAACTATAACTAAAATGGGAATTCTTTAAGAATATTATATGGCTAAAAGCAGTAATTCCACAATCAAAGATTTGGCTCTGGCCAATAGCTCAATGGGAAAAAAAGCAGTAATTAGAGAGGAAAAGAAGCAAGAGGAGGAGGAGGAATAATCAATATAAATTAGAAGCTATGTAGAAGATTGATAAGGAAAGCTAATGACGTTAGAGAAAAAATGTAAGGCTGGCAGATCAAGAAAAAGAGTATGTTTTCTACTATATTAAGAACAAGAGACAGCCTGGCAATGATATAGCCAATTACTATGTGGAGAAGGTAAATTGCAAATGATTCAGAAAAAAAAGTATACAATAAGTAGTATCTGTTTAATATTTGGAAAGAAGCAGGATGATATACTTGCATCACATGAAAAAGATGAAGTACATTTTACTGCAGTTGAAAATAAGGAAATTAAATGCCTTTAAGAAGCAAGCCCAGAAAACTCTGTGGCATTAAAAGAGCTCACTCAGGATATCTCTGAACTACTGATGATTTTTAATAAATCTTAGAATATCTAGGAAATCCAGAAGAGTATGAACATTAACCAGTATTCAAAAAATGGCAAACAGGATGACTCAAGTACCTATAGGCTACTATAGGCCCAGCATCAATCCTGGGCAAAATAATACAACATTTAATGAGATTCAGTTGATAAAGGATTAGAATATAATCAACGCTTCTAACTATAGGTTTGCTTGACAAGTTCTATCTTCTATAAAACTTTTATTTCAAGTGATTCTAAGTTTGGTTGGTAAAGATGTCTGCATATACATGATGGGTGTTTGTAAGGTGTTTGACTTAATAGCACAGAAGGGTTTGATTAATAAATGTAGCATGACAAAATGTCAATAAAGCACGTAAGTGCATTAAGAGCTGGCTAAATGA